ACTTTCCTATTTTCTTTTTATTGTTCCCCCTCTTTCCATGTGTGGTTTTATAAAATGTTTAATAAAAATTATATATATATATAAAAAAAAAGAAAATTCCAAAAAGAAATAAGTCCATAAAAGGTAGTAACACAAAGCAATGTCCACACCAGATATAAAAGCAAACCAAAACAACATATATCCAGACAGGAATCAACAAGATGCAAAGACACTCCAAAAGGCTAAAAAACTCCACAGGACTTAGACCCCTTGAATAGGATTTCCGTGGCACATGAACTTGGTTTCCAAATGATGCCTGATCTAACAAGCTTCCCCTTGAGGGAAACCTTATATCCCAAAACTCAGAAATTGGTTTCGTTTTCCCCCACATTTACCCGTTATCAGGAGAAGCCTTTCAGAGCAATGTAAATACTGAGTTTGCTGTCAATCCTGGCTAATCTCCAGCTGCCTATTTTTCAGCTCCCTATCTGGCTCTGGCTGCTCATTAAAATTCCCAGGTGTCAGATTGTTTTCTAAACCCATATCTTGAGAGCTCACAGAGAGAGGGAGTGAACCATCATTGCTAGGCCCAGCAGGAATATTCTCATGAGAAACTGCCCTTTGCACTGGGGCCTCTCTGTCATTGTCTGCCTGAAAATCATTGACCAAACCATCTCCATTTTGTACCTCAGCCTCAGCACCATCATTTCCTCATCATTTCCCACATCAGGATCCTGAAACACAAACACAGGCTGATTCCCAACATATCCCATACGCCATCTCTAGATGTTGTAGGGCAGTATTAAAAAATAGTTGGCACCTAGATTCAAGACCCCGAGTCTCCACTGAACAGCTAGATAGTAATGGAGCCCCCGGTGGCGCAGTAGGTTAAACCCTTGTGCCGGCAGGACTGAAAACTGACAGGTCACAGGTTCGGATCTGGAGAGAGTGCGGATGAGCTTCCGCTATCAGCTCCAGCTCCTCATGCAGGGACATGAGAGAAGCCTCCTACAAGGATGGTAACACATCAAAAACATCCAGGCATCCCCTAGGCAAATCTGCATATGAGTCTGATAAGAAAATGTAATGAAATAAGGTAAAGGCATCAGATCCCATCCCATCTTGAAAGCTAAGCAGGATTTAACTTTGGATGGGAGAACACCAATGAATACCAGTGCTGTGGGCTATATTACAGAGGAACCAACTGACAAAAGTATTCCTTGCTTAAGAAAAAACCATGGAATTAATTGGGTCATCATAAACCTACAGGCAATGTGAAAGCACATATACACACGGAAAGACCTGGCGAGTGTACAAAGACCTGGGGAGAAGAAATATGTTTAAAGCAAGGAAGACCACTGATATATCAGCAGGGGGAAGAATTCTAAATAATAGGAACTGAAAGATGGATGAAGCAATCAGTTTGGTAGAACAACAGTGAACTATTAGGAATTAGTAATTTTGTGACAAGTAGAAACCGAGAAGCAATGAAGTCGAAACATGAATGCAATTTGCAAACCTGAAGGAACCCAAAAATGAGAGCCAGAAATGGAGGAATAGTAGACATTGGTAGATAGGAAACGGCCTGCATGTTTTAATTTAAGAAAATGAGATGAGAGCCATGGATAAACCACAAGCTAGCACTTCAAAAAGTGAGATCTGAAACAGAAATAAGAAAAAAACTTGTAGATAGTTAACCTTTTGTGTAAAAATAATACACAAGAGCTAATAAGGGAAGACTGAAGCCAGAAATGAAACACGAACTTGATATTATGATAGGGAACTGAGAAGGAGTGACTGGAAAGGATAGAAACAAACCCAGAACGGTACATCATCTGAAACGTACAACAGCACAATCATCTAAAAAAGCAAGTGCTCAAACAAGAAAGTAAGTAAGCAAGAAATTAATGATCTGCAGTAATGACATTGGGCTTGAGGGTGCTACTCACAAAAAATGGAACAAAGAGAAGTCCCTCCGGTAGCAATTCCATCATTAGAAACGGGATATACCAGATTGAGCAGAAATGCTGGACATCAGAACTGAAAGGAATCAAAAGAAAAGACAGGAAGGGAACACTGGGCCCACCAAACCATTTAAGAAATTATTTCAGACAGAAGGAGCGTCAGAAACTATTTTGGACAAATGTAAAAGAGAGCAGTACATGTGAAAAAGATCGTGGAGTAACGCACTCTGCGTGGGGCTGCCCTTGAAAATGGCCTGGAAATTTCAACTGGTACAATGGGTGGCAGCCAGGTTACTAACCGGTGCTTCTTGCAGGGATTGGTCAACCCTCTTGTTTAAGGATCTCCACTGGCTGCCGTTTATTTTCCGATCCCAATTCAAGGTGCAGGTTCCTACCTACAAGGCCCTGAATGGTTTGGGACCCGCCTATCTGTGTATGAACCCACACAATCTCTTCGATCATCTGGAGAGGCCCTGCTCGCGCTCCCACCTCCTTCGCAGGCGCGATTGGTGGGGATGAGAGAGAGGGCCTTCTTGGTGGTGGCCCCCCGACTCTGGAACTCATTTCCCAGGGACATTAGACATGCCCCAACACTGGCAGTCTTTAGGAGGAACCTGAATCAGTGTGCCTCCCCAGAATAAGGAAAACTCTTAGCAACATGTCCTCAAATGCACTTTAATATTGATTAGGATTGTCTGCGCGCCCTCCTATTTCTTTGAACACCCTATCTTAGTTTACCCTACCTTGTTCATGCCCAGCATTTTAAATTTTAAATTTCAATTATTACATTTGGTCTGGTTATAGGTTTTTTAAATGCTGTATGTTATTGTTATTGCTTATTGCTTATTGTGTATTTTTGTTTTTGAGTTTTATTTTAACTGTTTGTATTGATTATTTGTTATCGCCTTTGTTTATTGATGTGTTGTGGGCTTGGCCTCACGTAAGCCACACCGAGTCCCTTGGGGAGATGGTAGCGGGGTACAAACAAAGTTGTTGTTGTTGTTGTTGTTATTGGAGTCCTCGTGGACAACAAGTTAAACATGAGCCAACAATGAGATCTGGCGGCAAAAAAAGCCAACGGGATTTTGACCTGCATCAATAGGAATCTAGTGTCTAGATCTAGGGAAGTCATGCTACCCCTCTATTCTGCCTTGGTTAGACTACACCTGAAATATTGTGTCCAGTTCTGGGCACCACAATTGAAGAGAGATATTGACAAGCTGGAATGTGTCCA